TATGCTTCTGGAGTGTTGACAGAATCACGACACATTCCGTGTATAGTAACACCTCGTTGCATATAGAGAAAACATCCATAGTTTGCTGGTCCTTTTCAAAAATTTTTGCTTTGGTTTTCTTGATATACTCATTGTGGAGAGCCTCTGGTCTTATTTGTTCAAGCATCACTGGAAGTTCCCTTACTGTATTACAAAAAGTAGTTTTTAATTCTCCTTCAGATTGAAGGGAAGTGAGCACTGTATCTTCCAGTGGTTCTTTGTACTTGGGAATTAGTCTTGACAACCCGTTTGCATCGCCAAATGTTTTTGATGTCATGTACTCCATTTTAAAATTGTAATTTAGCAAGGTAGTACTCCATCTCTGTAGTTTGTTGGCTGTGTGATTAGGTAGACCTTTCTTTGAGCCAAAAATAGTGAGTAATGGCTTGTGGCCTGTCTGTAGAGTGAACTGCTGACCATAAATATAGTAGTGGAACTTCGCAACTGCGAATATAATCTCAAGCACCTCTTTTTCAATCTGCAAATCATTTTTTTCTGCAGAAAGCAACGCTCATGACATGCAAGCTATCAGTTTTACTATTCCATCAGTCATTTTGTGAAGATTGCATACCCTGATGCTATTAGTGTTGCTGGTAACAATGATTTCCAAGTCTGGGTTGTAATGTGTAAGAAATAACTCTGACGTCAGTGTTTTCTTCATTTTTTCAAATGCCTCCTGGCATTCTGCTGTCCAAACTCAAGGCTTGTCTTTCTTTAATAGTTCATTAAAGGGGGCACACAGATCATGCATATTTGGTATAAATGCCTGGTAATAATTTGCTAGTCCAAGGAAGCTCTGCAACAAAACAATGTTATTTGGCACCGCCATATCTTTAATCACGGCAACCTGTTCAGGATTTGGTCTCCTGCCATCCTTGTCAATTATGTGTCCTAGGTATTCAATTTTTTCCATGAAAAAATTACATTTGGTCTCTTTAAGTTTGAAACCGTAATCATGAATCTTAGTAAAAACTTTGTGGATGTGATCCTTATGTTCAACTACACTTTGGCTTTTTATCAGAATGTCATCTAAATAAGCGACTGAGAAGTTAAGACCACTCAGCATAGTATCCATGACTTCCTGAAAAATTGCTGGCAAGACTTTCACCCCGAACGATAAACATTTGAATTTATATAATCCGCAATGCATATTTATACACAATAGCTTAGAACTCACCTCTTCAACTGGAATTTGCAAATAAGCATCGCTAAGATCAATTTTCGAAAAAATTTTCCCCCCATTTAGCTTTGCAAAAATGTCTTCTGGACCAGGAAGAGGATAATGATAGTCCTTCAGAACAGCATTTAATCCTGTCAAAAAATCAGCGCAAACGCATATGTCTTTCGACTTCTTTTTTATATAGACCGCTGGTGTGGCCCATTCACTGTACTCTACCTTTGATAGAACACCAGTTTTTACTAATCTGTCAAGTTCCTTGTTAATTTATTCCAACGAGGCAAAAGGCACATTTTGCTTCTTTTTGAACACTGGCTGGACGTTGTCTTGAAGTTCAATTTTTGCCATCATTTTGTTACACCTGCCTAACCCACCAGAAAAAAATTTCTGGATAAGCTTCCTTCAGTTCTTTTTTCAGGTTTTCAGCTTCGGCATTCCAATTTTCAATTTTTTGGCAGTAAGAATTTATAGGCAAGTCCCAAAGCTGGAATTGTGTCATTCAATCAGTGCCAAATAGGTTGTTAGCATTTTTCAGGATGAACAATATTAATTTAAAAGTCTTCCCGTTGAACGTTATATTTGCAATCAATTCTCCCTCAAATTTAATTTTTTCCCCTGTTACTGATCTTGCAATCTTGCTAGATTTTATCATGGTGGGCTTACCCAATCTTTTCCATATTTGCAAATTGTTAAATCACAACCTGAGTCTAGTTGAAATTCCACACTTAACATTTTTACATGCACAAATTTCCTGATATTAGCACTGTCTAGTTCGTCTGACCTTGTATTTTTTATATAGCTATTGGTTTTATTTTTAGATCGGCAATGCAAACTTTTGTGTCCAACTCGGTTGCAGTTTTTCCTTGGCAAACAGTAATGACCATTTAACAAGTAACATAAGAATGGTAGTCTCAGACTGTGAACTGTTTCATACTTTTAGATGCTTCTCACTTATCAAACACTGTGATTCACTAAAGATTTTTAATACAGATCATTTGAAACCCACTTACCATCAAGTCTCAATACACTACTTTTTAGGCCTGTGAACAACTATACCAATTCTGAGAAAACAATGAAGTTGTTTGTTTTCAGACCATTGTAGAGAAATTCATTATCAACTATATTTCTGACATGTTTGCATGCTTGTATAACAACTTTGTCAGAAAAGTAAGGAAGAGCATGAGAAGAGATTGGTTGAGGCTGCTGAGGTGTTTAACTTGACCTATCATCACAGCTTACATACCCTACAACTTTCCATTGACTTCTTTGGATATACTATTTTTGATAGTAAAATTAAACCTAATACTAAAAGACTCCAGTCACTAAAAGAGATTCCTCTTCATGAGAATATGAATTCACTACATCATGCTATAGGTATATGATTCCCATTGGGTTATCAATTGTTCCTCTCATAAAGATTAAGCTATTTTTATTAGCTAAGATGGCAGAAAAGGCATTTGAATACTTGAAAGTCCAGATAGAAAATGATGTGGTGTAACCCACTGATGAAATATTTCCCTTTGTTGTAGAGAGAGATGTATCTGATCACTTTAAATGCTCAGAAACAAAAACACCCAGTAACAGAAAATGAGGTATATGCTATAGGTTCTACTACCTAACTGTATAAGGATTTTGTACCTATACCAGTCTTTGTAAAGTCAAAGAGACAACGGTGCTACTCTGAGGTCAGCAGGTCATTTATGAAGTTTTAACTCCTAATAAATGTATAAGATCAGTCATGATAACCTAAGCATAGTGCAGAATGAAGCTGAATCTATTATTCTTGTGGGTTAAACATTGATTGTTCATATCAAGGATACTCATTAACTTGAGGACCAGGTTCCCTTTGAACATAGGATGATTTTACTGATATACTTTTCTTTACTTGATTTAATCCTTGCAGATAATGAGTTTTTTTTTTGTTTTTTTTTTTAAATTTCATGTTGATAATTTTATTTAGCATGGGTGAGTATGGTAATTTTGTTTATTATCTGTCATGTACACTTCCATATTGCAATAATATTTCTAGTTATTCAGTGCAGAGTTACTGGCATCATACCTAACAAAAGCATATATATGCTTTCTTGTGTGAAATCAGTAGATATTATTACTTACTGAAAAGCTATATTATATACAAGGTAACCAAAAAAGTTCTGTCCGTTTTTAAAGGAAAAAAAGAAAACGCTTCACAGTATGTGTAACTTATATTTGCGCAAGTATGCTTCATTGGTGAAGGATTTCCCACAAAGATGATTATCCAGGGAGTGGAAGAGGTGGTAATCGGATGGTGCAAGGTCAAGTGAATAAGGTGGATAGCACAAAGTCTCCCACCCAAGTTGCTGTATGGTATCCCTGACCACTCACGCAACATGTGGCCTGGTGTTGTCATGGAGGAAAAGCACACCTTTGTGATTCAACAGTGCTGGCTCCTTCTGGCGCAATGCCTGTTGCACACATTTTAATTGCTGCAAGTATAGGTCTCCAGTGACCATTTGGCCCATTGATAGCAGTTCATAATGAACCACTTGACGACCTGTCCACCAGACACAATGTATAATCTTGCGTGGGTGTATAGGCGGTCTTGCGGTGTGAGGGACAGCATCCTGAGGAGACAACCAATGTCTGGAATGCTTGGGAGTTTCGTACAGAACCCATTTACCCACTGGTAAGCACTTGATTGAATAAGGATGCAGTACGGTGGTGAGAAAGCAGGGATATGCATGCTGCCACTCGTTGTCCCTTGTGGACCTCCAACAGCGTTTGCGAAACCCACTTGCTCAGGTTGTACGTGTTACCTAAGCGGTGCAGGTGAAGTCTAACTGTTTCATCAGAAACGTTGAACTGTCTTGCAAGTTCACCACACGTTAGACTACTGTCCTCTTCAATGGCCGCCTTCAGGACTCCATCATTTAAGACCTGTGGTCGTCCACTGTGAGGCTCATCATGGAGAGACAAATCTCCTAACTTGAATTTTCGAAACCAACGCCTTACAGTACGTTCATCCACAGCACTATCCCCAAACGCTTGACATATGTGGCGACTTGATGCAGCTGCTGATAAGCCCACTTTGAAGTTGTAAAGCAAACATCCCCGAACGAGATCTCTAGGCACTTCCATCCTTATCACAGCTGTCCGGCTTATAACTGATGGCCGGGCATGGTGCGCATGTTTTTTATAACATCTGATGTTCCTACTTCCGTCTGTCCGAATTTGAAAACAATTGCTACACACATTTCATATATATTTCAACTTCATTCAATGACTAATCAAAAAATGGACAGAACTTTTTTGGTTACCTTGTATATTACCATGTTCTTTGTTGAATAAAAACTAAGAAATAAATTTGGTTTCTATTACAGTTTTTAAAAATAACAATGGAATTGAGTTCCATGAATTATTGAAGCCTAAATCAGAAAAAAAAATATTTCTGTTTAAATTACAGCAAAGAGTAAGCAAGTGTTTTTCAAAAGACTCCATGAACTTCCAATCAATCAGTATTTGATTAACAAAAGTCATTGTTGATTTTCTTAATATTTTGATGTTTATTCATATTATATTCAGCACCTTATGTAATATCAAATATTAATTAATATTAACTTCAGCAAATACTTCATTTTAGTAAGATGGTTCATCACTTTCTCTTTTCAAATCATTGCATATCTAGAGAATGTTAAAGTGTTTTTGTCTTAAATAGCTTTCATGTATTATGTTAATATTGTAGTTGATATTATTTCTATTATATTTCTATGTAGTTGTGTTTTTCTTGGGTTCTTTCATTTTCCAGGTTGCCAAATATAACACCATTTGAAAAACATAATGATTTGTAAGTTTATTATATTGTGTACATATCTGTGTGTTTTGTTATGATATGCTGAGTGATATCTATGCTTGAGTAAGAATTTTGTTTCGCTTCCATGAATTATGTATATAAATGAAAAATGAAGAAATTGTATGAAACAACAAGCAAGAAGTTAGTAATATTTTATGGTTGGTCATTATAACAAAGCCTTAGGGGATTTATTATAAGCAAACAACATATAAACAGGGTGTGATGGATAAATTGTTGTCTAAATCAATCAAAAATGAAAATAACACTGACATCTCATTTTAACAGATATATTTACTAAAATTACACAAAAATATCTTAAAATACTAAAGAATAAATTTATTCAATAAAATCACCATTGGCTTCAACCATGGCCTTCAGACAACTTTGAAATCTTCTGCAACTCTTTTCGATAATCTACTTGCTTAAGTTGGCGATTGTTGACATAATCCTTGCCTTCTGTTCATCTTTGGTATTACAAAGGGTTTTATTGGTCTCTTGCTCAACTGTACCCCACACATAATAATCAAGGGGATTAGGTGGCTAGATGTAAGGGTTATGTGGATACAGAAATTGTTTGACAGTCATGACTGGGTTCTCCTATTTGATGGTGTGGCATGATGCAGAATCCTGTTGCCAGACACAGGGTCTTCAGCAGTAATTCTCTTGGCCCAGGGCAGCATTACCTTCGTAAGGCACTTGATGTAGGCCTCTGTATTGAGTCTGAGGCCTGTGGGAAGATGAATGGGGGCATGTCACCAGCACTAGTGATCACTCCAAACACATTTGTAACCACCATTAAACTCATCCAACACTTCTGAATCCTCTGTACTGTCCTCAGATTGACACCCAAACACCCTGAAATGTTTGTATTGGAGCTTCTGGCATGAATGCCAAGCAATACAGCATGCTGTTTCCAAATTTCTGGCAGAGTGAATTGTGTCATGGTGCTCTTTTTCTTACAGACAGTGCCCATATTATACTGTGTGGTCAACAAGATCAAAACCAAACAATGTGCATGTGTGAAATTTAAAATATAATATGACGACTATTTACCCATCGAACACTTTGTGTATATACACACACACACACACACACAGGGTGCGATCTATAAATTTATATTTAAATGTCCATTAAGAAATTGTATACCTGATCTATCAAAATTCGTAAATAATTATATAGGCTATACTACAACATTTTTGGCATGAAGGCTCACACTACACCTTTCTGACCATAGCTCAATTAGGTCTCATTTAAATACTCATGGAGACCTACTGGACCCTATTCATAACATATTTGTTAACAACACATATATAATAGCATCATCTACATGCAAAAAAGGCTAAAAATAATGGAAGCCTTATTAATAAAAACAAAAAAACAACACTTGATAATATCAACTATGAACATGGCACAATATCTTGACCATGTTTTGAAGATGAAAACATTATATAAATACATACATACAACAATCTATTTCTTGTTAACAGTTAATATATTTCAACCTTGAAAATGGCTTAATGTATAGCCAAAAGTGCTTGGATAAAAAGAACAATTGGATATTTTTTATATCATTTAACATCCAAAAAGAAAAAAGAAATTATTAGATCACATGAGAAATTGTATAAAAAACTAAATCAAAGCACCTTGTCTGTCGTTTTACATGAAATGTGCATGAAAACATAAACCAGCTCGAAAAAAAATCACCTAAACCTTTAAACATATCCTTCACTAACATCCATGGCATTCAGACCAACTTCTCAGTGTGGAATCATTCATTGTTGAGAAGTCTCCTGACATATTAGCTCTCCTGTTAGACCAACCTTAATCCATCAATCCCCTCCTCTGACTTTTTGATTTTCCTCTCCTCTCCTAAGAAAGGATGCATGGCCTGGAAGTTTACACACAAGACCATTTCCCATTATCTAGTGAACTCTCTCTTGACTCTCCAGACCATTCATACATGTGTCTCTGTCTATCTCTCATCAAATCTATAAGCTACCTCTTCTTTCTCTACTGCACTCCATCCTCCCAAGACTATGATGTACTCTATTGCATTTCCGGTAACATAGACAAAGCTATCTCTCTACATCCATCTGCAAATATATTTGTGTTTGGTGACTTTGCACCAGATTTCCCCCCTAGAACTGAGGCTCTACTGAGTGAGATGCACATAACCCCAATGATGGTATTGGATATCATCTATAAATTAGAATCCCAAAAGGCCAGTGGTGGAGATGGGATACTGGTCATTGTCCTGAAGAAATGTGCTCTCTAAACTTTACAACTACTGCCTCACTGACTCTTGCTTTCCTGCCTGTTGGAAGTCCTCATCTTTAAAAACTCTGGAGACCCTTCTGACCTGTCTAACTACTGACCTATCAGTCTCCTACCACCCTTCAGTAAAGTCTTCGAGACTTTAATCAATGCCAAAGTGGTTAAGCACCTTACTTCACATAATCTGCTCTCCGACAAGCAATATGATTTCTGCTTTGCCTGATCTGTTGCTGTCACGGCCATAACTGAATTTGTATATGCAGCACTCAACAATAATGGAGAAGCTTGAGCCGTGGCTCTAGACATCTCTAAAGCATTTGATAGGGTTTGGCATGCTGGACTTTTTCATAAGCTTCAGGGATATGGTATTACAGGATGATTATTTGACTTAATACAATCATTCCTGTCAAACTATGAAATGAAAGTTGTCCTAAATGGGTTTTCCTCTGGCTCCTTTATCATGAACGCTGGTGTCCCCCAAGGCTCTATCTTGGGCCCTACACTGTTCCTAATCTTCATCAATGACCTTCCCGATGTCATCAGTTCCCAAGTTGGCATCTGTGTGGACAACATCACTATTTACTCCTGCCTCAATAGTAAGTTTAGTATTGTTGACAAAACTAACCTGGCTGCTGATCTTGAAAAAGGCCTCCAGTCTGTGGTTGACTGGACCAGGAAATGCCTTGTAAACTTTAATGCCTCCAAAACGAAACTCCTTGCATGGAATATTGCTGTCATTTATGGTCTGGTGCTCCTGCTGTACATCTCTAGGTCCTTGACAAAATCCATAGACAAATAAGCAAGATGATAGGTCCTCAAGTCTACAGTCGCTATCCCACTGATGTGCTGTGACATCCCTCTGTCTCTTCTACAAATATTTTCATGGCAACTGTTCTGACAAGCTACTTTCGCTGGTTCCTGGACTACATGAATTTAAACAAGCTACTAGGCTGGCAACTTGGTCCCACCCTTTCACTGTCAAAATGGTTAAATGTAACCATCTCTTCTTCAAACAGCTTCTTCTCTCGCACTTCCCCAAAAAAAAAAATGTATATATATATCAGATTACGCTGAACGGATTTCGGAAGCAGATTCGCAAGTCAAAGATATCAGTTGACGCCGATTAGGATTTCAAAAGCAGAGTCACAAGTCAAAAGGAAACTTTTTGAAAAGTAAGAAAATTTTTACTGTTAAATTGTGATTTGAAAAATATATATTGAACCGCGACTCAAATACAAGCTGGTCTAATAATTGGTTATTCAAGTAAAAATTACGGGTTGTAAAAATATTATGGCTGTAAATTGTCTGTTAACCGTCTAAAAAAATTCTAAATAAAGTCAGGATGGAAATGACTAAAATGCTGTGTACAAGCTTGCAACAGCAACAACAACAGCACCAAGACTTACAACAACAAATACTGCAACAGCAAAAAAGTCTCGAAAAAATTCTGAAACAGGCGACTGGAGAAAGAAAAAATGCTGTTTTTTCTGCCGAAGGAATAGCAAATTCATTATCCGAATTTATATATGAACCTAATTCAGGCATTACATTTCCAGCATACTTTAAACATTTCGAAACTATATTTACCAAGAGATGTCAACATTGGTCGGATGAGGAACGAGTAACATTATTAGTCCAGAAACTAGGGACAAACGAGAATAGGAAGTACTCAAACTTGATATTGCCCAGAAAGCCAGAAGAAGTTTCGTTTGAAGAAACTATAAGTATTTTGTCAAAAATATTTGACGAAAGGAATAGTCTGTTCCACACGCGATACAGATGCCTAAACATCGTTAAAGTAGATAACGAGGATTTTGTGACATACGTGGGAACAATTCAAGTTAGAAGAAATAACCAAAGATGTATTCAAGTGCCTAATTTTTCTTCAAGGACTAACTGATCCTAAATATAAAGAAATTAGGTCGAGAATATTAATAATGGTCGAGCAAGACTCGAAAATAACATTACAAAGGGTGACCGAAGAATGCCAACGTCTCATAAACGTAAAAAGGGATAATACACAAATTGAGGAAAAAAGTGTTGCTAATGTTCAACACGTAAAAACTCAAAAAACTCCAAAAGCCAAAAAGATATAAAAATGTGAGACGTGTGGAAAAAATAACCATACCAAAGACACGTGTTGGTACAAAAATAAATTCTGCCAACCGTGTGGAAATAAAAATCATACCAAAGATGTGTGTTGGTACAAAAATAAATTCTGCCAATCATGCGGAAATAAAAATCATACCAAAGACGTGTGTTGGTACAAAAATAAATTCTGTCCATCATGCGGAAATAAAAGGCATAAATATTCGGTTTGCAAGAAGAAAAGGAAATTACAAGATGTAAGCCTGGTATTATCAGAAAAAGAAATTCCGAACGGTAAAAATAGAAAATACGTAGATATGCGTATAAATAATCATACAATTACTTTCCTATTGGATTCTGGTTCAGACATAAGCATCATTGATGAACAAACATGGAAAAATATTGAAGACCTAAATTATCTGAAACCAAAAAAAACGCTAGAGGGGTTTCAGGAAAGAAATTAAACTTTAAGGGAGAATTAAAGTGCGATATTTCGTTATGTGGCAAAAAAACGAAAGTGTATGTAATCCAAGGGATTAATTCATGTCTTTTGGAATAGACTGGATAGTACTCTTTGATTTGTTTGAACTCCCGATTAACTCATTTTGCAAACGTAATAAACAGTGCAGAAA